TCTCTCTGTCTCTCTCTCTGTCCCTGTGTACCATAAGCACAACAGGTTCTCAAAAGCTACCTGAACAGATCAGAACCAACACAGGTTTCTCACCGGCCCTGCACAATCCACACCTGCCTACCTTCCCATCTTCACTCCCCCTCCCTGTCAATTCTACCCACACCAGCTTTCTTCCTGCACTTCCAAACTGCCAAGGGTATTACCTACACCAAACTGCCAAGGGCACTGCCATTCCACTCCCTACACCACAGGATTCATTCTGCCTTTAATCATTTGTTGAGCACTTACTACCTGACAGCCATGGTGAACAGGTACTGGAGAAGTTAGGATGAAAGAGAAATAGGATAGTGGTGGGAAAACAAGTGAAATCTGAATAAAGCTGGTGACCTAAGTAGTATTGTGCCAGTGTTAATCTAAGCTTTATAATACACTGTACTGTGATTATGTACCATATTGGCGTTAGGGAAAGTTAAGGAAAAGGAACACAAGAACTTCTGGTGGATCTCCATAAATCTTAGGTGTATTTAAAACTTTTTCAACATTAAACTTTTTGTCTGTGTGAGCCAAGGGTCTCGCTTTGTCATTCAGACTGGCCTTAAACTCACTATGTAGCCCAAGCTGGCCTGGAACTCATGGCGATACTCCTGCTCCAGTCTCCCAAGTGCTGAGATTACAGGCGTTACAGCAAATTACAGCAAAACCTTTTAAAAAACCAAACCCAGGTGCTGCCTTCGGGAACTCCAATTCTCGGAAAGAAGTGGACACCCACATCCCCATGCCCCTGGAGTGAGCTGCCTAGGGCAGATGGGAGGAGGGAGGAACCGTCCTGCCCACCTGCTGCTCCCAGGACCGGCCCAAGGACCTCGCGCGGCCCCACCCTGCACCCAATTCGCCCAGGAAGCCTCAGTTTCCCCCGCTGAGATCAGCCATCGGGAGAAGACCAGCGCCGTAAGTCACCGTGGGTCCCTGCGCGCCGTCAGGGGTAGAATGGGCATATCTACCGCCCTCTCACAGCCCACCTGGAACTCCAGGCCGTAGATCACCGGCGCATCGTCCTCCATGGTGCGGAAAATGAACAGCCTGCGGCTCAGGCGCTCCGATCCTCGCTAGAGCCTGCGCGTCCCATCTGGTGGGCGCTATCGCAGCGTCCATTCATTGCCGGGCTGCGGCCACAGACTCTGAGTCCCTTGTTTTCGGCCCAAGCCAGCTTCCGTAGGACTCGCTTCCTGTTTTTGTTATCGTCATCAGTATGTTCCTTGCGAGCGGCCAATGACAGCAGCGCAAGGCTCAAGTGCGTGCCCACTTAGCCTTTCATCCGGGCTCTCAGTTATGGCAGCTTCTGGTTAGAAGAGTCCGGATGGAAGGAAACAGTGAGGGACTTGGCGGGAGGCGGCGCTAAGGCTCTAGGTTCTGGTAGAAGGCGGTATGCTGAAGCACAGCGCAGATATCTATGCCTCATAGCCTTCCCTGCACCTCATCCCTGGAAAGAATGGCCGGCCGCCCTGGACCATGTCGTTACCCTCAGTCTTCGCTCCGCCCTTATGGACAAGCTTTTGCACCTCCATTTTATAGATGGCATGGTTCCAGCCTGAGTCTCAGTGGCTGGGAAGACCACAAGTACCCTGAGGTACCTAGGGACTGAAGGCTTCGGCAGAGGTCGCCCCTCACAGGGAGCGCTCCCAGAATGCCCGCCTTACTTTGGTTAGTGACTGTGGGACACAGGAAGGCAACTGTGCGGTAACCGAACCATGACAGAGACCACCATAGGGACAGGGAAGCAGACAGACTTTTAGGTCCATAGCTTGTTATTCATCAAAGGCTTGATTTGTGTTTTTTCCTAAGGCAGTCAGGGACTTAAAAGTGATTCTGCTAAAAACCTTGACTCTTCACTTGGGCCTATAAATGTGCAATACCTAACTCAAGTAAAACAAAGCTTGATCTTCATTTTGTATCCTTTGTTAGAATAAATCTTTGGGTCAAATCCCTTCTCAGCTCTGCACAGATAGGTATGTTAAGTATTTAGAGAAGGTCTATGTAAAAGTTGCCAAAACATAGTTTGATTAGCCTTGAAATTACATGATCTTACCATCCTTCAAGATGGAGGACACCAAGTTAAAGGATTTACAAGGACATTCAAATACTGAAGAAGTCTCTAGCCATTGTTTTAAGCCTGTGATCACCTGGATTCCTGGAAAAGCAAAAATCCGAATGAATGAAACCCACTTCAGTAAACACAATCATTTCATGAGAAGGGAACCGCCCTTCAATCCATGAGGATTCTGGGGCTAGAAAATCAGGACAGTAATAAAGATCAACCAGACCCCAGCCCAGCAGCTAATACTTATAAACTAGCCTCCTGCCTTTGCAGATCTTCTTCATCAGACTGCCCTTCCAGCTGCTTAGCTGGAGTCTTTTCCTACTTTCCTTTGAGGAGGCTCAGCCTGATCTTTGTCAGCTAAAGTCTTAAGTTACCATTTTATTTTACTTCCTAAAGGTTTTTTTTTTTCGGTAAATTTGGGCTTTAATTTTAATTTCCATTCTTACTAAAAACAAGGGATCTATGCTAGCTGACGACAGAATCCACATCCTAACTTGAAGCCCCTTCACTGGCCTAGTTCCCCTTGGACTCCAAAACCAGGCAGGCACTTCTCCAACCTTACCTCTGTTTTTCTTAGTTTACCCAGTGCCTAATACCATGAAAGGCTTAGAACTAAGGTTCATTGAACATTAATTGAGTGAATGAGAAGACCTGAGATTACATAAATCAAATATGCAGAGCCCTTGACACCAGACTCCTAGTCAACCTTTGCCAAGATAAGCTTGTGGAGCTAAGAGAGTGGTCTTCATACTCGTGGATTAAGTCCATCCCCAACCATTATACCATCTTTATCATCAGTGTGACTACATAATACTACAGATGCATGGTGGGAAAGGTAGAAAACAAAAGTACAAAGAACAGTGGTTCCGGCGCCTGCCGCGCAAGCGTAAGATTCCGAGTTCGATCCCCGGTACCAAAAAAAAAAGTACAAAGAAAAATTCTTAGAAATCAGTATTTCTACAGACCGTTGGGCAAAACAATCGCCTAATCGCAACAATCGCCTAATCGTCTCTCTTCCACCTGCCATTCCTGCCACATGTTCGCTACTAGCTCAAGTGTCGAAAACACCCCAGGGCAAGTGATTTCCCTCTGCGCCGCCCCGGCCCTGTCCACCGCAGAGGAACCGGAAATGCACTGAGCGTCTGGCTTCCGGGCCGGGGCAGGCACTGAGTACGGGCACGCGCAGGCGCACTAACCGCGGGAGTGGGTGGGCCGGATGCTCTTCTCTACTTCCGGGCTGTCAACGTCCCCGGACCCGGGTCGCGGTCGCCGGTGACCCCTTCCCCAGCCCCAGGGGCGGGTGGCAGGTGAGGCTTAGCGCCGCGATGGTCAGGAGATGTTGGGCAGTGCCAGCCGAGATCCTGCAAGGCTGGAACCCTTCCCGCAGACGCGGCGTCCTCGCGGGTCCCTGTCCCGTCTCTGTCGCCTTCTGTGCCCCCAGGCAGGGCCGCCTGGTATCTGGGCTTAGCTGGTCCAGGCTCGTACACTAAGCCCTCTGAGTGCTTTTGATCCAGCTACATACCTCAGCCTGTTTCCTCGAGGAGCGTTCTAGCAGCTGTAGCTGAGGACCAGTTGTAGATGCACACGTACTGCGTGACCAGGCACAAAGGAGGTGCCCGAAGTGGTCGCCTAGTTTGCTGCTGTCAGCGCCAGCCCTGTTTTCTTAGTGCGTCACTTTTGCTTGTGCTGTTATCAGTGTCTCCATTTACCAGGAATCGAAGACAATATTACAAGCTCCGAGAGACAGGGTGAGAGATGACAGTGGATCAGAGCACCTTGGGAGGGCTTCATGGTAGAGGGGGGCTTCGTGGAAAAGGGGGACTTCAGCCGAGTCTTAAAAAATAAGCAGTGTTTAAGAGCCAACACATACTACAATGGGTACTGGTTTAAAGAAGTATAAAACCAAAAACTAGCAAGTGAGGGTGAGGATGTGGAGAAATTGGGCCTCTTGTGCCTTGCTTATTGGTAGGAATGTTAAATGGTCTGCTGCTACGAAAAACTTGCAATCCCTCCAAGAAAATAAAACCAAAATTTCCATATGGTCCAGCAATTCCTCTTCTGGTCCATACACAAAAGAGAGAGCAAGGTCTTAAAGAGACAGTAGTACACCCATGTTCGTAGCAGCAGTATTTACAGTAGTTAAAAGTGGAAGCAACCCAAATGCCCATTAACAAATCAGTGGATAAACAGAGCATACTGTACACATGCGGCAGAGTATTTTTTTATTTTTTGAGACAGGGCCTCACTATGCAGTTCAGGCTGACCTTGAACTCACTGTGTACCCAATCAATACTGGCCTCGAACTCCAGTGATCCTCCCCAGGCATGCACCACCACACTTGGCTACAAGGGAGTATTAGTCACCCATAAAAGGAAGCAAATTCTGACACATGCTATGACATGGATAAACCTCGAGATCATGATGCTAGTAAGATATGCCAGTTACAGAAAGACAAATATTGTACAATTCCACTTCTATAATGTACCTAGTAAAATTTACACAAAAAGTAGAATAGTGGCTGCCTGGGGATGGATATATGGGAAGTTATGAGCATAAAAATTTAGTTTTGCAAAATAAAAAGCTTGGAGGTTGATTACACAGTAATGAGGATGTACTAGCACCACTGAACTATACACTTAGAAATGGCTAAGATGAAGCTGGGCGTGGTGATGCCCGCCTGTAATCCCAGCACTTGGGAGGCTGACGCAGGAGGATTGCCAAGAATTCGAGACCTGCCTGGGCTACATAGTGAGTTCAAAACTGGCCTGAACACGTGGCAAGACCCTGTCTCAAAAAAACAAAAACAAATAAAAATGGGTAGGATATTAAATTTTTGTGGATTTTGCCACAATTTAAAATAAAAGAATAGAGAATGGAAGTTTCTAAATTTTGAACCATTTGCATATGTAAGCAATAAATAATTTTTTTTTTGAGATGAGCTCTTGCCATGTAGTCCAGGCTGTCCTTGAACTTGCACCAGTCCTCTTGCCTTAGCTTCCCAAGTGCTAGGGCTGTGCTCAAAAGCAAGACCAGCTAGTTTAGTACCAGACACAGACTGCTGACTAGGGGGATTTGTGATTGTCTTTGTTTCAGACATGGAGAACGGTAAATGTGGTGAGCAGGGCATGAAGGAGGCGTCTCCCTTGGCCCTGGTGGAAGCTGAGAGCGTGGTTCCCCAGGAGGAGCAGGGCCAGCTTCTGTACCACGAGGAGACCATTGATCTCGGTGGAGATGAGTTCGGGTCCGAGGAGAATGAGACAATATCCGAAGACTCGAACAACTTCGCCGATAAGCTCAGTGAGCACCTGATGGAGAGTGTGCTTATCTCGGACTCGCCCAACAACAGCGAAGACGATGGCGGTGAGCTTGGCTGCTTGCGGGATGTGGTGGAGCCCCTAGAAGGCACCACTGATCACGGACTGGACGGTGTCACAGATAAGGAAGAGATGGACACTCTGAGTCCTGACAGTGACACTGATGGAGACGGAGACGACACCCCTCGAGACGCATCAGACGCCACTCCCGACAGCAGAGCATCTTTGAGAGAAGATTCCACCCAAGAGGAAGCCACGGGGCAGCCTGCGTTGGAGGACAGCAACCTACAGGACTTGGTGCCCGGGGAGGAGAAGGCTCACCTGGAAGAGCAGGTGTCGGAAGTGTCTTCCGGTTCGGGCCAGTCTCCCAAAGACGAGCCGGTGCCTGTGTGCACCATCTTCAGCCAGGCGAACCCGGCTGGCTCCCAGCCCCACCTGTTCCTGCAGGACGGCTTTGAGTCTCAGATGGTGAAATCACCAAGCTTCAGCAGTGCCAGCGAGGCATCTGCCAAGACCCCTCCTCAGGTGGTCCAGCCCAGCCCCAGCCTGAGTAAATTTTTTGGAGATACGATCAGCACAAATTCTCTGGCCTCTGACTTCTTCGATTCCTTCACCACTTCTACCTTCATTTCTGTTAGTAACCCCAACGCAGGCGCCTCGGTCCCAGAAGAGTTGTCTTCTCTCACCACACCGCTGGGAGACAGATCCCCCGATTCTGCCACTTCATCTTACTCTGCAGGAATGGAAAGATCAGAATTGGGGCTTTCTACGGCTTCCCTGGAAATCCCCGAGTCCCCGAAACCGTTTGCACAGATCCAGGCTGTCTTTGGAGGGAGGGATGACCCCTTTGCCACGGCCTTGAGCATGAGCGAAATGGACCGCAGGAGTGATGCCTGGCTCCCCAGCCCGGGGACCAGCAGCGTCCTGATCTCCCTAGCAGCCCAGCAGTACAGCACTGTGTTCGTGGACAAGGACAACCTCACCATGCCAGGCCTCAAGTTCGACAACATTCAGGTAGGATGGGGTGCTGCTGTCGTCACATCTTGTCCTTTTTAATTATTTCTGTAAAAGATATGTATATAATACCTTTCAAAGGGTGGAAATATCTTTATTCTGGGATTCCTAAGATTCTGGCTTTTTTCCTCCTGAGATTTCTGGTTTGCTTTGGTTTGGTTTGGTTTTTTGAGCTACAATCTTAGTATGTAGTTCAAACTGGCCTTGAACTAGCAGTGATCCGCCTGCTTCAGCCTTTCAAGTGTATGTGCCAGCACACCCAGTCTGCATTTTATCTCTAAATTATTAGGAACTCTCTTGATTTCCCTAGTACTATAATACATTTAAGGTACTACTCAGAGTCATGGGAATACTAGCAAGTAGATCATATGTCCTAATTCCTCTGAAGTAGCTCTACACTTTTGTGAGATCAATTTATTTGTGACATTGGAACCCTATTACATGATAAATCCTTTTATTTTTTAATATAGAAAATGTGTTTATATTTACATAATATATAGGATGTAAAGGATTTTTAATAGGTTTGTATTAGTTTTTCCATTACTATGAAAAAGTACTTGAGGCTGTTTACTTAATAAAGAAACTCAAAGTGATCCTCCTCCTGCCTCAGCCTCCCAGAGTGCTGGATTACAGCCATGCCCTACCACGCCCAGCTGTCATCCACTTCTAAAATACAGTGTTGGGGCTGGGTGTGGTGGCACACACCTGTGATCCCAGCACTCCTGAGACTGAGGCAGGAGGATCACTTATAGTTCAAGGCCAGCCTGAACTACGCAGCAAGACCCGGTCTCAAAAAAACAAAAACAAATAAAATTCAATGGTGGGACAGACTAGATAACATCCCTTTTCCAAAAGGAAGAGGTAGGGAAGCAAAAATGAACAACCTCCCAAAAACAAGACTGAAACCGGGCAGGGCCAATGTTAAGTCCTAAAGACCCAGTCTGCCTCCTGTGCATGCTGTGGCTGAAGTGGACCCAGGTTTTAGGCAGGGCCAGCCCAGCCTCGCCTGCAGCTTTGCTCCTTGCAGGTCAGGCAGCTGCTCTTCCTGGCTCCACACTGAAGCCACAGCCTTGCCAGGCTGGCCTTCCACGCTGTGGTAGCTCTTCCTTCCCAGGCCCCTGGCTGCAGCACACTCGACACCTCCCGTAGACATTCTCACAGTGCACAGACTCCCTGGCTGCCCTCAGCAGTGGGCCTCTGCCTGGCTGCCTACACTTTCTTTTGACGTCTTGGTGGGAGCTACTTCAGCCTCGCAGCTCTTGATTCTGCACACCTGCAGGACCCAGCACCACACAGACACCACCAAGACCTGCTGCAGCGTTATTCCCGGCCTGTGCACCGTGGTTGGGAGCAGGGTGAATACTGTGGGGTGGCCCTGGGCATTGAGCCCGGGAGCCAATTTGCTTTCCACACCTCTGGGCCCTTATAGGAAGCCAGGCCTCCCAAATTCCTGAAATGCCTGCTGGGCTTCTTTTCTTACTGGCTCCAAGCAAGGCCACCAGCTGCTTTCCTCCCTGCACAGATCTCTAGCACCTGGTCATCAGGAGACCCTTCACCTGTATCTAAACCCTAGCAAGATCCCGTGGGGAAAATGTGAATGGCCCAAAACAGAAGAAATCACAAAAATACACAAATGTTATATATGCTGAATGGTAACATACAAATGTTCAGTCTCACGAGTAATCAAAGTATTTCCATTTTCTGTCTAATTAGATGTTTTATTTACAATTATTCATTATCTTATGGAATATGGGAAGATAGCTGGTCTAGGGCAGCATTAATGAAACCAGAAACCAGAAACGGTTAAATAAAAGTTTGGTTTTCTGATTTTGATTTTGTGAGACAGGGTCTTGCTATGTAGTTCAAGTTGGCCTCAAACTCGCTCTGTAGGCCAGGCTGGCCTCAAACTCATGGCAATCCCCTGTCTCAGCCTCCCAAGGGCTAGGATGACAGGTGTGAACCACCATACCCGGCTTTGTGTGGGCATTGGAAATGATGCCAGGGCTCGGGAAGAGGGAAAGACGAGTAGACAGAGCACAGGGTCTTTACGTCAGTGAGATTCTCGTGTGCGGTACTGTAATGGTAGATACCTGTCAGTATTCATACCTCCAAACCCACCCAATACGCAGTAACCAGAGTGAGCCCTAATGTCAGCTGTGGGCTTCGGGTGAGGGTTATGGTGTCATATAGGTTCGTCCTTCGTAGCAGATGTTGTGGGGATGTTCTAACAGGAAAGGTTATGGGGGGCTAGGGATGTAGGTGCCTTTGCACCTTCTGCTCAGTTTTGCCACAAACCTAAAACTGCTATAAAACAAAAAATATTTTTAAAAGATGTTAAAACAATATGTAATGAGGCTCATACTATCTTGTTAAATTTGGAAGTCAGGTTATCAGCAGGTAGCATGCATAGTCCAATAAAATGTTTGCAAATGTGTGTATCAGATTAATTCACTCACCTGGTTGCGTTGGTTTGTTGCCAAACTGGATCACAGATGGGATTACAGACTCCTGGGGTGGCGAGGGTGGGCACCGCACCTCCCAGTTACTGGCTTCCCATCCTGTGTGTGTCTCTTCCCAGATCCCAAAGGAGACCCATGGCCCTCTCAGTAGATTTCTTCCCATTTCCTATCTGGTAGATGAGGCCGTAGGCCCAGTGCATGGATGTGACTGTCATCGTGGAGGCCTGTGCATGCTGAATGGACTAGGAAAGGAACAGTGACATGCTCAGAAGGGAGGTTAATCGCTTCCAAACAATAGATGTATAAGCCTGCAGGTGTCTGGATTTTAAATGTTTTACGTTCTCATCTCTCCAGAATATTCATGTGCTAACCTTGTATTTTTAGTGTGGCTTACTACTAACAGGCAGTGTTACAGACATCAGTCTCTACCCTCCTAAGCCTAATACACTAAACACGATTTAATCTTGTGCAGTCTTTTTGATGAATTCCCATTATAGGCTTTGGTTTCAGGGGTATCTGGATGGGTAGGGTGTGATTTACTTTGTCACCGAGTCATTACCCATTCGCCTCCTGCCTGCCCTGCACCCCTAGTCTGGCTTGAGCATTCTCCTTTCTGTTTCTTGGGGTCCTCGCACCGGCTGCTGCTAAGTTCCTGCAATATCTGTGGGTCTGGCTTTAGCTCCCTTTTCAAGCTCTGCTGTTTGCCCTTTGCCTTCCCCTCCACTGGGAACTGCGGAAATCCAAAGTTTACCACGGGAAGTTCTCCAGTTGATGGGCACTTGAGCTGTTTCCAAGCTTTCGCTATTATGAACTGTGCAGCTATAAACATGGGTGCACATATATTGCTGTAGTAAGATTCTTTTATTCTTTTGTGAAGATACCCAGCAGGGGGATAGCTGGGTCGAATGGGACCTCTAGTCCTAGTTCTTTGAGGTATCTCCATACTGACTTCCACAGTGGTTGCACCAGTCTGCACTCCCACCAACAATGGAGAAGGGTTCCTTTCTCCCCACACCCCCGCCAGCATTTGTTATTGGTTGATTTCTTGATAGCAGCCGTTCTTTGTGGGGTGAGGTGTAATCTCAGTGTTGTTTTCATCTGCATCTCTTGAATAACCAATGATGTTGAACATTTTTACTTTCAGGTGTTTTGAGACAGAGTCTTGCTTTGTATTCCATGATGGCCTTGAACTCACTAGGTAGCCTAGGCCAGCCTCGAATTGGCAGTGATCCTCCTGCCTCAGGCCCCCCAAGTGCTAGGATCGCAGGTGTGCACCTCCTACTGGGCTTATCATACAATTAAAAAAAAATCTGCCCAAAATATAGGTCATTCTTGGGTTGAGAAGCGCAGCTGTGGATTAACCCAGATGCGATAGCAGCTAGAGGCTCCTGCATACAATAAGGGGCCTATGCTCTGGGATCCCTAATCCCTGGTGTAAAGCTTCAGGTACTCCCCTCCTGGTTATGGGGGCCATGGGGCTCTGTCCAGCAGCCAGGTCTGTGGTGCACTGTCCATGAGTGCCAAGCCAGTCAGGTGTGTGTGCTTTCCCTCCCCCAAGTCCTAGGTCGGTTCTCCATACCTCTGGGAATTCACAGTGCTTATTTTGGAAACCTCGTGGCAAGTAGAGCCTGAACTAGGACTATTCCCACACTGCTGTCCTTATGGTAAAAAAAGTGTGCCAGGTGATTGCCACATGGTGTCTCTTCCGTTACATAAGACCCTTCCAGAAACTTCAGGTTTGCCTCCGATGCCATGTTTCTTTGCTGAGGCCTTACCACTGCTGTGACAAAAGAGTTTTTCTGCTGACTTGGTGCACGGCAAGTTTCTGAGATGTTGACCAGGCCTTTGTTGTATTCAGCTACCGCAGGTTTCTCCCCTCACACTGTTAAGTGTTGCTTGTTCCAGATTAGCTTCCTAAAACATTTGTGCTCGAATTTTTTTTCCCAGATTGTTCTTAATATCTAACTAGCAGTCTCTTTGTTATGGGAAAAAAATTTCAGTTGCTTTTTTCTTACATGACTTTTATGGTAGTCTGAGAGGCCTTCATGGCAAATTTGTAAAACCTGGTCCAGCTCAGAGAACATGTGCTTTTCCAACTGATTGTAGTTATAGACGGCATTTATTCTTCTTAAAGAAGTTAATGAAGTCAGCCATGGTGGGACACATCTATAATCCCAGCTACTAGGGAGGCTGAGCCAGGAGGATCGAAAGTTCAGGACAGCCTGGGCAATTTAGCCAGCCCCTGTCCCAAAGTAAAAAACAGTAAAAGGGATGGGAATGTGTGAAGACCTTGGGTTCAATTCCTATTACAACCCTCTCCAAAAGAAAAGGTAAATGAGAAATTTTAAAGACTGAGCAAGGAGGGCTGGGGATTTAGCTCAGTGGTTCTGCTGCCTGTCTCGAAAGTGCAAGGTCCCAAGTTCGATCCCTGGTACCAAGAAAAAGACCAAGCAAGGAATAAAAGCAACTTAGATTACAGCATTCCAGGGCTGCTTCTTCAGCCAGTGTTACCAGACCTTTCCAAACTCTTTCCACAACCAATTCCAAAGGCTCCTGAATCACATGGCCAGGGAGCATCACAGCAACGACCCCACTTCTCTGGGACCAAAACTCTGTCTTAATGGCTTTCTCATCACTGCAGCACAATACTCGACACCCACAGCTTAAAGGAGGAGAGGTTTATTTGGGCTCAGAGTTTGCAGAGGTTTCAGTCCATGGTCACTTGGCTCCCGGGCAGGACAGCCTGGTAGGGGGGCCTGGCAGAGGAGAGCTGCTCACATGATGGTGGTCAGGAAGCAGAGGGAGAAGACAGAAGCTGGGGAGGGACACACTGTCTTCCAGGCCACCCCAGTGATCCAGACACACATGTCTTCCAGTGATCCACTTGCCACCAGGCCCCGCCCCCTACATCGAGTCAGCTATGGATTCCTCGTGGACTAATCCACTGGGGAGTGTAATACCCGCTGTGATCCAGTTGCCTTCCCAGAGCTCCACCTCTGAGCACATGTGGCTTTGGGGACATTTGTAACACTGGGGAAAGCTTCCTGTCCTCACCCCAGTAGCCACAGGGATGTGCAGTACACGATGCCTTGAGCCAGTGTGCCATGACCACTTCTGTTCGGTGACACGGCAGGAGTGTGTCTTTCAGATGTATGCTCACAACTTCAGGCTTTCCCAATGCAACACTGGTCATCGTACAAATATTCCTACCCCAGGGACATCCTGTGGTGGCCAAAATGTTGACTAACAGAATTTTAAGGACGAGGACTCACTGATCGGGAATGGCACTGGGATGGAAGAATCCAAGCGGTCCTCCCTCCTCAGCATCAGGATCTATTTGCTCTTTGCTTCACTCACTGGGCCTGCAGCACCAGTAATGCCCTTTGTTTAATTCATGTTGTGTTTGTGCAAAGCTCTATGGAGCCATATGTTTGAGCCCTTTGTATTTTGCCCTTTAATTATTGCTCCTCAGTCACCTAGCTGCTTTTAGTGGTTTCGATACTGAAGTGTTCACCTCATTCTCTAACAGCAGAAGTTACAGAGTTGCTGCTCATAGATTCTGTGGTGCAGTGTAGGAAGATACAGAGCTGGGCGTCTTTCTGCAGGCTTGGCACCCCGTGACAGAAACCTGACGCGGGCTGTCACTCTCCTCCACCCTGGAAGGTGCTGACAGACGGGGTGCCTTGGGTGCTCTCACTCACACATTTTAGCTGCTGCTTTCTTTGAAGTGTCACCATTTGAGAGATAGCAAAAGGTTCCAGTAACCTTGTCTGGAAGGAGCTCTGCTTCTGTGCTTTCTTTTCCAGCACAGCGGGAAGGCGATGGGAAGGTGCGGTCCATGCAGGTCTTGGGTCCTCTCGGTCCACATCCTACGGAGCTGCATTTGCTGTCCTGTGCTGCACACAGGCTCCCGGCTGACACAGGATCCAGGCTGTGTCACCCCTCCTGGGAGTGGCCCAGTTTAGGTTTCAGTCTTCAGTCATCTGCAGACTTTGGTCCCTTTGCACTGTGTCCCTTTGTCAGCAGCTGCCCAGCTGCCCCAGGTCAGTCCCTGCCCCCCGGATACCCAGAGCTTGTGGCGGAGAGTGCGGGGTGCCATGGCTGTGCTGGTCTTGAGGCATTTCGGGGACTCAGAACTGCTGCTCCCACTGCTAGCACCTCCACCAGGGCCACGGAAGGGAGAGCAGTGTCCAGAGCTCTGTCCTGTAGCTGCTGTTTGTCCTGGACTCCTGGGCTTGACCTCGTGGTGGCTGTAGCTGTGGCTTGGGACCCTGGTGGGTGGCCTTGGTGCTGACCATAGGGTGCCGGGTCCAGCTGCTGGCTGGGCTCCCCTCCCCTGACCCCAAGACCTGTGCATCATCATAGTGTGTCCCCACGTGGCATTTGACCCAGTCAGTCCCAGCTCAGAGTGCTTGACCTTCCTCCTGTGGCTGTGGGCCCAGCCAGTGCTCCTCTCCAGCTTTGAGGTGGTCCCTGTCACCTGGGTCTGGTGCATCTCCCTCTGGGCCACACAGATCTCACCAGTGTGCCCTTCTCACCTCCCCTCGCCCTTCGATGGCTTCTCTCTGAAGTCAGTGACATGTGTCAGGTACCAGCCCAGGTGGTTAGGGCACGAGGAGTCAGGCCAGCAGGTGGGGGTGACCCAGTGCTGAGGGGGACGCACGCAACAGTGCAGGGCCAGAGCCTGGCTGTGACCCAGTGTGGAGGATGGTGACGGCTCTGTCAGCCTGGAGGCCTGGCCTGCGGGGGGTGCATGGCTTGGGCAGAGCCCTGTTTGAGCCACATATCCCTGGTGTCACCGCACGCTCCCTGGAGCCTCCAGAGTGCATCCCAGAAGCTTCTCACAGCCTGGTTTCACCTCCTGCCTTGAGCCTGGTATAGGTGGGGCTGACTTACCATTTCCCCCCCCTCGATAAAGTGTGACCCTAAAGGGCCGGGGATTTAGCTCAGTGATTCCACCACCTGCCCTGCAAGCACAAGGACCTGAGTTCGATCCCCAGTACCAAAAACAAAAAAGAGTGACCCTAACAATACGGACTTCTTCACCATCTCCAAGAACCACAATTCTTACTTCCATGAGCCGTGCGGTGAAAGGAGCCCTTGGCGCTGCCTGGTAACGCTCTGTTGCCTTCTTCCCAGGGAGACGCCGTGAAAGACCTGATGCTCCGCTTCTTGGGCGAGAAGGCTGCTGCCAAGAGGCAGGTGCTGACCGCCGGCTCGGTGGAGCAGTCCTTCGTGGGCCTGAGGCAGCTCATCGTAAGTAGCCCCTCCCTGACCTGCCCCAAGGCCAGTCACTCCGGAGAGATTACCAGAAGCACTTGCATGGAGATAAGATTCTGTTGGATGAGATTCCAGCCCTGGGCAATAAAAAGCTTTATATCAACACACGGATAACTTTAAGTCCAATTAATTAAAAAGCCATTTTTTAAAAATAGTCAAATGACTTGAAGCAGCTCATACTTGGAGCAAGTATGCTTCATTAAATATAATAAAAGCAGAATGATTTTATATTCCTTTTAAAATATACTCCATTTTTTTCCATTTGATGTTGAAGGATCCTTATCAAATGGGTTAATTCCTAAGCATTTTTCAACTTTGCCATGGACTCTGTAGAGAGATTTGTGTAATCCACTAATAACAGATCACCACGCTGCTCGCACTCATTTGGTTCAGTGAGTTCGTAGACTAAGAGACCTTTAGTACCATTGAGCTGCATCTCCAGATTATCAAGGAAAAAGGACCAGAAGTTTACCATCTGGGCTTCATCCAGAAACCCTAAGGTGGCCTTCTGGTGTCGAGGTGTCCGCGAGTGACGGCCACATCTCAGACACATTTCCTGTCCATGGGTCAGCTCCTCCTGTGGCCCAGCCATGCCTGGTGTGGATGCAGAGGCTGTAACTCCCAGCGCTGAGCACGCTCAGTGGGATTTGAAAAAGTGCAGTGCTCTAAGGGCAAGAAGTCCATGAGCCCACATCTCGTTTCTCTCGGTTGTAACCAATGCCTTTTCACTTTGCTCCTGGTTTCACCTATTTTGAGTGAGTTTTGATTCCTAAGGATGTAACAGTTGAGAGGCTTAGAGACTTACACAGGATTCGGCTTTGCAGCCCACTTAGAGAAGAATCGGAGGTTAGCCTGGGGACTAAAACCCAACAGGAAGTTTCTAAGTTTATTTGGGAGAAGCCCTGGCTCATCTCTGCTTAGACAAGGCCGGGTTTTGTGTTCTAACAGTGACAGCCAAATGACCAACTGCCATACAGATCTTACAGTCAAACTCGGAGGAACTCGGAGGACAATAATCCTTGTCCTTTCTCTTCATTTTTTTAGTTTGTTTTTTTGGTACTGGGGATTGAACTCGGGTCCTTGCGCTTGAGCAGCAAGCAGCGAAACCACTGAGCTAAATCCCTGGCCCCGACCCTTGTCCTTTCTGTGTTACATCAGCTCTGCCTGTAGCTCAGGATTTGCGAGTTAGGTACCCAGGATGCTTTCTTACTGCTAGAAATCACAGGTCCTGAACCAGACCAAGAGTGGGAGTGGTTTCTCTGTCTTTACCAGTGACATGAGCACAGCAGCATAATTCCTTTCCCGCATAGCCATGTGCAGTTCCCTGGCTTTAGCTGTCCGTGAGAAGTCCTCCTGTTCGGTGAGCCAGGCTGCCTGCTGCAACCCCTGGCCCTTGGCAGTGGCTCTGGCTTCCTTTCCCCTCCCAGCCCCCAAGAGGAGCTGCTTTACCACATCTGGCCAGCAGCACCCTGTGGCCTGGGTCTCTAACCGTGGGCATCCAAGGCTCTTGTCAGGAATCCTAGCCTCTGTCACGCCGCGTACAGTGCCCAGCTGCTCTCTGCAGAGGGACTGAAGGGCCCCAGACACCTGACGTCTCCCCTCTGCTCCCCTCTGCACACCGTGGGATGTCACTCAGTTGTCCCCAGCAGCACACACAGGAAGGAGTCTTCACTCAGCAACCAGGGGCCCCATGCAGAAACACACAGGAGAATGTGCTGCGTGGGTCTCTGAGCCTCCAGGACCATGCAGGCTGCCCTACCCCAGCGTCTTTTGTCATGTCATGGAAGTATGTGTCCTCAGAAAGGTAAATAAGAGTCGCTTGCTCGGGCAGATGGCAGACATTGTACACGCAACAATTAAGTTTAATTTTCAGTGAATGTCAATCAAATGACTCAGAGTTTCTATTTCTAAAGTGATTCTGTAATTATTCCTGTGATTAAAAAGCTTTAGGAAGGAAAAAGATTGAGATATTTTCTTTTTCAAAAGGGCAGGGGAGGCCCGGGTTTTTAGCTCAGTGGTTCTGCCACCTGCCTCGAAAGCACAAGGTCCCGAGTTCAATCCCTGTACCAAAAAAGAAAAAAGAAAAAAAAAAAGGGCAGGGGAACAGCCACACATGTTGGCATACACCTGTAGTCCCAGCTGTTCAGGAGGCGGAGGCCCGAAGATTGTGAGTCCCAGGCCAGCTTGGGCTACGTAGCAAGACCTAACCTCTCAAAAAAGTCGGGGGAGGAGACTGGGAGTAGAAAACGACCAAGTTTGAAATGTCTGTGTGCTTCATAATTTCATAACTGGTTAATGAAGTTACATGTCTTAAAAGGTGACTTTGTGTGGCTGGTGTGAACTTTAGGTAAATGAGCAGACCATTCCATGGGCGAGAGGGAGATTGTTCTCCTTCCTTTCTTTGGCCTGAAAAAATGCCACATCGTAGTACTTCATCCTGAGTCGGAGGCCAAACCACACATCTTCATTTTATAATAATGAGATTAAAAATAATGCACAAAGATTTTTTTATCTTTTTTGGTCATTCCTAGTATTAATAAATACATGCAATGTTTTTATTTTTTTATACATTGAAAATGCTGTAGACCATTAGAGATTCTATTAACAGTCCTCATGAGGGAACTTATTTAAGATGAGATGGCCAGGCATGGTGGTGCGCGCCTGTCATCCCGGCACTTGGGAGTCTGAGGCAGGAGGATTGCTGCAAGTTCGAGGCCAGCCTGGGCTACATAGTTCAAGACCAGGCTGAACTGCATAGGGAGACCCTGTCTCAAAAAAAAAGATGAGAAATACATTTATAAAAAGATTATTACTTGCCCTGCCACAGCCCACATGGCTGAAGGGTCTGTGAAATGAGAAATGACGGTGGGAGATTAAGCAAAAACAAAGACAAAGAGATACAAAAGAACAAAGATAGACAAAGGTCCCAGGTGGGGCTCTAACTCCTGATGGGAGAAAAGATCACCAGGCAAATGCAGTGCATTTATTTATTGTGATAGAGGTAAGGGAAGTGCAGGGGGAGGTAAAAGGTACTAGGAGCCAGGAGAGTAGCTAAGGTCTGCAGGACATCTTGGTTGGTGGTTTTCTGGCAAATGGGTGGGTAGGCCAGGTCTTGCTCCACCACACCCTCTTGACCCTGTTCTCCTGTGGGGCCCTTCCCCTCCACAGAGGATGCACACAAGACGAGTGTTCCTGTGGTCCTCAATCCACCCAGGGCCCTGCCTCATCCGCAGGAGGAGGCGAGTTAGGCCTGGCCATAGGGACCTACAGTGCAGAGCTCCCAGCATTGCTCCGGTATTTTAATTATGACCACAAAAATGCCCATTGTCCTCGCAGCCAAGGAAGAATTTCTGAATGTATTTCCCTCAGTCAGACCAGTATTCTAAGATTATAATTTACGGGGAAATGGCTGTCAGACTGTGGAGAAGGATATTTTAATCACTTTAATAGTGTCATATGTTGAGTTAATGATTCTCTTTGAGTCTTAGATTGAGAGGAGTTACGCACATACTGTTAGTTACTTCTGTGATTTTATTGGATTACTTTTCTTATCTTTTGAAAGTTGTGAAATGCCTATGTTCCATGTTGCAAATAGAGTGTACATCTTACTTCCTAAGATATGATACATAAGAGTGGAGCCGGGGGTGGTGGTATAGGGCTGTGATCTCAGCACTCCTGAGGATGAGGCAGGAGGATTGCTGTGAGTTGGAGGCCAGCCTGGGCTACAGCGTGAGATTCTGTCTCAAAAACCAAGAGCAAAATAAAACAAAAAAAAAAAAAGGAAAAGGTAGTATTTGTTTCAATTTAGACATTGCTTAAATTTAGCTGTTTTCCTCATGTACGACTTGATCAGAGTTCCACATGCAGTAATTACAAGAGTTGCATGAGATTTCCTCCCCGAAGCTTAAAGTTCCTCGCGGCAGGCTTTAAACTCATAATTTAAAAAGTTGATTTCTCCACTGAACACTTCTGACACCTGACACTGAAAATGGAGGGCAGCGGCGGGGAAGGGAACCAGAGATGCAAAACAGCGAGGCGAAAATAGCAAAAAGCACACTGAGAAAATAAGCGGCCGTCTTTTCCAGCAGCGGGCAGCACAGGATCCTGAGAAGCGGCGCCTGCCCGGGAGGGACGGACAGGCGGCACCCTCCTCCGGCGGTGCCAGGGCAGTGTCCCCGCGCAGCCGTGGCCAGGGAAGAGCTTCGGAGGGGGACGAGGGAGCCGACTCCGCAGCAGGGGGAAGACCCGGGCTGCCGGGGCCTCTCGGTCCCCGCACCGCCCCCATCAGGCCGGAGAAAGAATAGCACAGAGACACGCACTCGTGTGGACCCATCCGGGAATTACAGGTTATTAGGAAAAGAGCAATTCGATAAACAGTAGCGCTGATTTAATTGGGTATTCAATGGGAAAAATAGATCTCTAAATCAGATTTTTTTTCAATTTTATACAGTATAAGTGACAGAGGCTTTTCTTTTTGTTGTTGTTTTTTGAGATAGTGTCTCACTATGTAGTTCAGACTGGCCTTGAACACACAGGGATCCTCCTGCCTCATCCTCCCTGCCTCAGTGCTGGGATTACAGGTGTGTGCCACTGTGCCGGCCCATTTAAAGAGGAGTGACAAATAGGATAAAATGTTTGAAATACCATAAGTGTCAAAATATTTGTATCCAGGATATAAAGGACTTCCTCAAAAGAAATTGCCCCATAGAAAACAAAGAATGAAAAAAGAAAGAAAGAAAACAAAGGATAGGAAGAAGCAGTTGCCAGAGCCAGACAGCCTGGTGGAAAAGCTGCTCACATTCCCTCAGGATCCAGAAGTGTAAATGAAAAAGTGCCAGTGCCATACGTTGGCAGTGCCTGTTGGCACATAACTGCTTTGTGTTAACGATTTAACAATAGCTAATAAGATAAATACTTTGTATAACCTTTGATCCCACAATCCCACTTCCAATATATTCCCTTAAGGAACCCTTGTA